CTTCCTCTTATCCTTTGGCATTGATGATTCCAATCGAGGGCTTGCCTTGTGATGAAGCTTGGTGCTCTCCTCAATATGTGTCCTATCCACTTCCAGCGTTTCTTCCTCCTCTGAGATTTGGTTTGTTCTCTCCCACAGAAGGTTGTTGCTGATAGTGTCTGGCCAACGGATCCTAAGTATTTCGAGTAAACAGCTATTAATAAACACTTGTATCTTCTGAATGATGGCTTTCGTAGTTCTCCAAGTTTCCGCCCCATACAGTAGAACTATTTGGACATTTGTATTGAAAATTCTGACTTTTGTGTTGGTTGACAGTTGTTTTGAGTTCCAGATGTTCTTCATTTGTAAATATGCTGCTCTTGTTTTGCTAATCCACACCACGTCTGCATCAGATCCACCGTGTTCATCAATGTTGCTGCCCAGATATGTAAAGGCTTTTACATCCTCTAAATCTTTTCCGTTAGATGTGATCCGATTGGTGCGTGTTGTGTTGTATCGGAGAATCTTGCTTTCCCTTTGTGTATATTGAGACCTACTGCTGCTACACTGATCGTCTTCTCCTACATTTGTTGTTGCGTGTGCAATAGACGAACCAGATCATCTGCGAAGTCTAGATCGCCTAGCTGCTTCCTAGATGTCCACTGTATCCCGTACTTTCCCTCAGATGTTGACGTCTTCATGATCCAGTCGATCACCAGGAAAAAGAGAAAGGGTGAGAGTAAGCAACCTTGCCTAACACCAGTCTTTACTTCGAACGACTTTGTCAACTGTCCTCCATGCACAATTTTACAGTGTAATCCATCATATGAACTCTGTATGATATTGACTATCTTTGGAGGCACGCCGTAGTGTCGAAGAAGCTTCCATAGTGTTATTCTGTCTACGCTATCAAATGCCTTTTCGTAGTCAATGAAGTTGATGTAGAGTGATGAATTCCATCCAATTGATTGTTCCACAATGACCCGTAGAGTTGCGATTTGGTCTGTACACGATCTATCCTCACGGAGTCCTGCCTGTTGGTCACGAAGTTGGGCGTCTACGCAGTCCTTCATCCTGTTTAACAATACTCTGTTGAAGAATTTTCCTGGTATTGAGAGAAGAGTGATGCCCCTGTAGTTATCACAGTTGCTGAGATCGCCTTTCTTCGGTGTTTTGATCAGAAGTCCTTCTTTCCAGTCTTTTGGTACTTGTTCTTCATCCCAAATCTTGCTGAAGAAAGTGTGGAGCATCCTTGCAGTTACTGCTACATCTGCTTTCAGTGCCTCTGCTGGAGTGTTGTCTGGTCCCGCTGCTTTGTCGCTGTTGATTTGTCTAATGGCTATGCTGATCTCTTCAATTATTGGTGGGCCAACATGGATTGGGAGGTCCGTGGGTGCTACTTTGATATTGGGTGGGTTCAGTGGAGCTGATCGATTCAAGAGTTGTTTGAAGTGTTCTGCCCATCTGTTTCGCTGTTCTTCGATGTTGGTGATTACTTTGCCCTCCTTGCTTTTCCTTGGTCGTTCTGGTTTACGATAATTTCCAGCGAGTTTCTTTGTTGTATCATACAATTGTCTCATGTGTCCTTCTCTTTCAGCCTTTTCAACCGTCATTGCTAGATCTTCCACATATTTACGTTCGTCGATTCTGATGCTGCTCTTCGTTTGCTTATTTAATTTTGTGTATTCAGCTTGTGCTTTGGCTTTCTCTGCTTTTGTTCAGCTGGTATTGATTGCTGCCTTCTTGAATCTTATCCAGTGTATCAACGGTGATCCATTCCTTGTGGTGGTGCTTCTTGTGGCCTAGAACCTCATGACATGTTGAAATGACTACCTTTTATCCCTTTCCAGTTAATTTCCACAGTAGTTCCCTCTCCATTGAGTAGGTCATGAAAGGTCTGGAATTTACTACTGAGGACTACCTTGAATTTGTTGAGTTTGTCAGTAACCCGAAGAAAGGTCGTATTAAAATTTTGTGCTGTTGTCCGCCCGATTGTCCTGTGCTTCTTGAGTCTCAGTTTCATCTTGGCGACCAGCAAGTGATGATCTGATGCTACTCTCCTCGGGGCCCCTCTGGGCTACTGTCGATCCCAGGCCCGGGTAAAGGTGGAGGTTCGGGCATGGGGTTGGCGACCCCATCCCGTAGAAAATTAACTCGAAAAAACGCTAACCAGGGGCCCTGATGTCTGGAGGAATAATTATAACAATACCGCACAGTTATCATCTTCAAATATCGGGTGATACTCGCATGCTTATTATTGATTTAAACACAGTGGGTGCCAAAATAAATAAGAAAATTAGATTGTTAAAAGGTAAAGAAATGAAGCCGATTTCGATAAAAAAAACATGAATAAAAATAGGTGAATGATTGGCGGATTCACGGGTTTCTAACAGTCTTATAAAAGTACTTCCCATTTCGAAAATGCAAAGTACCTGCCATAGTTGTGGACATTGATTGCCAACTGATTTAACACGGGTTGCTTGGCTTAATTATCGTTACACAATAAAACAATATCACCTGCATACTCGAGATCACCCTATATATATATGATTGCCGTTCGCTAAATACGAGTTGTCAGTAGATAGGCATAATGCAGGATGTCACTTTGTTGTTCATTGTGACACTTTAAATAAGGTAGAAACATGAGATTCAGAAAGTGCATGAAGATGAAACGTGAGTAAATAGATGAAATGTAAATGAATGAAGTATTTAGAGAAATATATAGACTACCTTCTAAGAAAACAGTGTTTTCTTCATCTGAAATTCCAGTACATAACTTGCAACCTTCCGATTTCAACTTCATAATTTTGCGATATTAGTTCGCTTAGTTTTCTATTATGTTACTGAACTAACTTGTCAATAAGATCTAATTAACACATTTGGTCAGATCACCCTACTGTTTTTTTGGCAGTTGGATCGGTCTAGTGCTGTTGTCAGATATCATTATTAAAAGTTAATGTGATCATTGGATTCCTTAAAGTTACCAAGACATGGTGAATCGATATCACAAATACATGGGTGTAAAGTGGGTTGTCTAAAGTAGTAGTTGTAAAGTATTTTGTTGCCATACATATCGATGGTGCAAATCATTGACTTAACTTCAGTAAGAATATTTCAACTAAGTGTCAATATAATAAGTGGATCAGTGGCTTAGTGTTTAAGTCTTTCAACCACTATCTAGGAGGTTCAAGTCTTGCTCTACCTACGTCTGCTCGAAAAACTGATTAGTGTCACAAACCTTTACATTTTCATTGTGGCACGAATATTTACATGGTGACTGAGGTATATTTTTTGTCATGATTAAATAGTACATAAATAGCTGTGATTCCTATTGATATATCTAACGTTTGTTTATTTTTATTCCTTACATATTAGCGTTCTATAAAAAGTTCAAAAGACGGTGTTTTTGATGGAAAAGAAAAGGAGAACGTACTACAAAGTAATACCAAACGTCCATTGAGTGAAAATGATGATTTAATTCAGTGTAATTCCAATGCTACAAAGAGAAGACTATCTGAATTTGAGAATAATGTATCTAAGAGAATGTCGTCATTCGCATTCTCTCAGAATTCTTCAAAATAATAAAGATAACATATCTAGTTTCAATTAAATAATGTGGCGTCACATTTGTATATTATGTTTAGACTGGTTTATTGTATTAATTGTTATAGAGCAATCTCTTCCTTTAAAAAGTTTAGTTTGTAGTATCAACCCGTTGCATATCTCTAAATTTATTTCCTTTCGTAAAGTATTTGCATACATTTTTTTTACTAGAAAATGTAATGCTTACCTTTGCTTGAATTTGTATCGTATAAACTGCTATAAAATACTGTTATGACTTTTCCTAACAGCTGATCCTCAATTTCTATGCACAGTGTATACGTAGGTTTAGCACTCAGAGTAAATCAATTAATGAAAGCTCTACAAGAAGTGTTACAAACACATTATATAGCTTTTGGCTATTTAACTCTATTTTTCCACTATGAAAGCTCGTCTCCAATAACATATGATTTGACTTCTTGTGATCGTTTCTGAGTATACGAAATGCCTAATTATTCAAAAAGTGAGAAATCGAAGCTTTTGGGCCTGTTCTATGGAGTGGTGACATTTGAACTGGTTTTTAACGAGTATTGATTTCAAAAGGTAACGTTGCGTTGTTGGAAATATTGTTTAGTCCTATTTATATAGATAGATTTTTCCCGATGTGTTAAAAGTATAGTAGCTGGCATTGGATTCGCAATAAAACGTGGCTATCAGAATCATGTAGTTAGACAAACACAATCCATTGAGGGACAACACAGTTTAATTTATAAGTACTAATGACAAATACAAAGCACTAGTTTCTACCAGGCCACATACATCACTATCCGACCTGTAGAATTTACAGACTTGGGTTCATACAGCAATACTATTTCTAGTTTCTTTACCCGTTTTTTAAGTCTATATTTGTCGGTTGGTTTGTTCTCAGAAAAGTGAATTAGCTTCATTACATCAACTTCACAAATTAGTGAAGACTTCCTTCATAGACTACTGTATAACTACAAATATCCTTCTTCAAAATCTGGACGTACTACATTTTGAATAAAGAACAACGATCCTAGGAGAATAATATGGATTCATTTATTTCACGGGTCCTCCTTAACTGCTTACGACCTAGAACCAGTGGAAATCATCAAGAAACAAAACAAGTATTCGTAAGTTACCAGAGAAGTATGGAATTGAGATATAAAATAATGGACGATAACTGTAAAAGGATTAAGAGAACGTTCGAATATTTGTTTGCTTACAGGTTAAATATCCGGGAAGAGGAAACTGGAAGGAGCAAGAAAATATGATTTTTCGGAAGTGCTGATCATCTTGCAGGACTTTTAAAACATTAAATTCATGTCCAATGTCAAGCAATAGCACTGCTGAACATTTTTTGTCCTCACAGTCATTCATCTCAAAGAAAATCTCACAAAATATATGGGAAAGTGTGGACTGTTGGATTCCACCTAAATAACGGATGTTCTTGGTGAGGTTGCCAGTGTTCACTACTGATGATTGATCTTCAATGGCTTTCCAAAGAAGATCAATTCTCAATTGAAATTACATTTGGCATACTGATTGTATGAAACGCCCAATACTCCTACGTTTTTAGCATTTCCGAAACTAATAATTCAACCCACCGAATTCAAGTTTACGTACTTGGCTTTGAGGTACATTTTTCTGGAGCAACTGGTTGGTTAGGAATATTTAAGGTTTTTAGAAATACCGCAAAAAAATAGTCGATCATTTTAACCGAATAAAGAAAGCTTTTACAATGACACCAAGTAGATATAGAAATGTTTATCAGCGACCACAATTTTCTATATATATAGCGATTAATTAGATTCAGTTATTACATGACGCAACGTATTGTGCATCAGTCGATTTGTCTGCATCATAGACTGGGTTTAAGAATTTAATTTGTTTTTGAAGAATAAGAGATATGTAAAGAACAGTTGGATCTTGAAGTTCTAAAAATAGACATTCAATTATCATTGTGTATTTTTCAAATTACGAATTCTCTTTAGGAGCTATGAAGAAGAGGGATTACAAATGTTATTTGTATATTTTTAATGGTTTAATTCGGCTGGATATTGTTTCCACTACCATCTCCGATTTTCATAGGATTAATATTCAACGTTGTAGTTAACCTGTCATGAATTGAATCACCTAGTGCAACTGATATCCATGTTATTAATATGAATGCAGTACGACAAGCATCAAGTATTTGCCATATTTTAAGAAAATTATTTAAATCAATTTGTGTACTCAATAGGTATCTTATTTCATCTTCAGATTTGTAACTATTCATATGAAATATATAATCAAACCAACCCATCGAATTGTGTATTACGAAAGCGATCATATAAAATATGATAGCCATTAGTCCATTCTAATAAAAAAGAAGAGAAAATGATAAGTGATAATTTTCGAGAAAAAGGTTGGATCTACAAATGAGGGTCTTCTACTTCTTATTTTGAAGTGATTACCTAGTATCAACCTACAAATTAATCAAGTATCATACATTGCTTACAATTCGTATTGGATAATGACTATTAAATTTTGACTAATATACAATAAAATAATGATAATTGTCATATATCATGTAAGGTACTGTTCATTTGAGTCGGTTAACACCTAATTATTAACTTCGTTTAGTTATCAATAATCAAAGCTAAATTGTGAACCGAACTGTGTAATAATTTTTAATTTAATTGTGTGCAGGATCAGTACCACACATTTTTGTAAGATTTATTTATATAATCTGACTACATAAAGTAAACGGGGTGAAGTTCGTGCCCAAAATCCTATGACTCAAAATTTAAATGTTTTGTTACTCAGTGACTAGCGAATTTCAAGTACGTGACGAGAATATGAAGTCTTATTTTAACGATTAATCGATAAATACAGTACTGTTTTCTGTAATAAACCCTGCAGTTAATTGATTAACGTTATACAACGACAGATTTAACAGAGGTTTCGGGTAACGGTATGTGAATTAGTTAACAACTAAAGGCGATCATGAAAATAGAATTATTACCTAAGCAGAAGGATTTTCAAAAATATCATCAGTAATAGTTTCTGAACATGACGAAGATAACACCGAAGTATAGTGATACAAATACCGATTTAGACGACCAAGAGATTGTGAAACGCTAAATTCCCCTGCCTTATGTTCTTGTAAAGTAGGTTTAGTATGTTATAGCATTAACTAAAATAGAGTATGTATCATGTTATAAACTACAAAAGATAATGATCTTATTATTTTACTACCAGTGTTTTTAGGAAAAGTTCTTTCCTTATATCTTTTGTCTGGTGTCATGCATCTATCAATGTTAGATCACCGTCGAAAAACTGGAAGCATTGAACGGCCGTCTCGTCTTAGTATGGGACTACTTGGCAGTGCACATTCACGGTCCCGCACGTGAGATTCGAACTCAGAGACTTCGGTTGTGAGCGCGGACGCTTAACCTCAAGACCTCTGAGCTGTGGGGTCGTGGATGCGCGCTGCTTAGGCCGTCCATTGCTTCCAGATTCTCGATGGGTTTAACAGTGGTCGTATCATGATCTCAATCAAAACTCAATAATCTCCACAACCCTATACTGATCTTCCATTCGCCTGATCGTATTCTGATAGGCTATTCCTCACATGGTAAAAAGATCTTAATAATGCGGCTGGAAAAAAAGAATACTTGGAACATTTAGAGATATGATAAATCCTACCTTTCATCTTGGCTGAACAAATTTAACACAGTGAGTCTCAGTTATGTTGATGTAATGTATTGTTGGTACTGGACTTAAGAATGATTTCAGTACTAATAATAATTTTCACTGAGAAATAGTGGTGTGTGCCATGTTGACCAGTTAAAAAAATTCACTACAGTCGGTAATTGAATTGTCAATTATAATGTTTTCTAAATCAGGTCTCACATAAATCTTTACTGATACTTAGTGGACGGTAATTAAACAATTTAAAGCACGATTTTTTTCTGGTCAGCAGTTTTCATGACTGTTAATTTAATGGGATTAATTGGCTGAATTGTATAGTCAGTACGTTGAAAAAAAGTCAGTCTCATTTTCCTCAGGCGAACTAACTGACAAGACAAACTATAGTTAGTAAAATAAAACCCCTAGTCCCATAATCGGATTAATAGTAACTGAGTGACTATCGGTACGAATAGAACCATATTTTGTAAACAAATATATATATATATATATATATATATATATATATATATATATATATATATATATATATCAATAACCACCTGAAGTTTAACACATTTCCGAATACAATTTGTTGTTGGCCTTCCTAAATCGAATTTTCCGAATACAAAAACACCTATCAAAACTAATGATATATAAAATGTAATAGAGATTGGACGTGCATACACTCCATAATATTTTAATAATGGTAAATAACCATCTCCGTAATTGTAATTCCAAGAACCATCATTTTTAATTTGTCTTGGATTAATTAATGATTGTACGAATAGTGTATGCACTAAACTTGCACCAGCCAATAAGCCAAATAACGTAAATGTCAAAATTTGTAGTGTTTCATGTATGTTGATAACAAAATGTAATCCTGGATTGTTATGCGTATACATCAGTTCTTGTTTGTCATTTAGTCCTTTTTTAATTGTAGATTCTTCATTTCGTTTCATAGGCATATTTTTCTCATAATCTTTAAGTGGATGAGAACGAAAGCCACTTCGACTTTCAACATAAACGTTTGAAGTAAACTGTCTGTCAGGAAAATTAATTGAAAAATCACCTATAAATGAATGATAACAAAAAGAAAATGCATTTATTGTGCGATTTTTACACTATGATAAGAATAATATGATCATTTAATTTTAAAAGTAGTGTTCTGAACCAACCATAAATCAATTTAATGTACTTCTGGAATACTTTTTTTCGTGTGAGGAAGTTGCATAATCACATGCACATAATCAGATTAAAGCCATATGCTTTATATAACAGTTAATACTACAACTACTACTATTTATCTGAGCAAAGATTAAAAGTCACTGTGTGGACATGGACCTGACAAGCTTATTTTGTAAATAGTTTTCAATGTTATTTGTATTTACTTTATCAACCTTCCACTGTATGTATATTTAACATTAAATGACTGTAACTGTTGTTTTAGTAAATGACCTTGAACACACTTTCCGTTGTACTACTACATTGCGCGACATACCGCTGCTAGCTAACAAATACAATGCTTCTCGCACACTCATCGTTCTATTTCCATTTGTGATTGAGATATCCGAAGTCTAAATCAAATTCTATCTTCATTTATAGACTGTAACCGAAATATATCACATTCAACGTTGGATTATATCATTAGAGAGTTCACCAACCTGTTCAGAATCAACAAACATTTATAATTGTGGATTTACTTTACTGGACCTAATCCTAACACGCAACGTCTGATCAATTTAAGTAACGTCCCCAATTTTTATTGTATTTGTGACAATTAATTATATATATTAATATTACTATTGATTTTTAATAACTTTGTTTATATTTTTTGTGTTCATATCTGTTTGGTCCACCACAATTATTTGGTGAGCCCGACGTGATGCAGCTTGGGATAATCAGACAATCTAACAGTCCTTGGGCCTCGCCGTTGCATATGGTTCCCAAGAAAGATCAAGACTGGCGCCCATGTGGAGATTATCGCCGACTAAATAACCAGACTATCCCAGACAGGTATCCAATCCCTCATTTACATGATTTTTCTCTAAATCTACATGGAAAACAGATTTTTTCAAAGTTAGATCTAGTCCGAGCATACCATCAAATACCGATGGCACCTGAAGATATCCAAAAAACAGCTGTAATTACACCTTTCGGTTTGTTTGAATTCTTGAGGATGCCTTTTGGACTAAAAAACGCCGCTCAAACCTTTCAGAGATTTATGGATGAAGTAACTAGAGGTTTGGAATTTGTATTTGTCTATATAGACGACGTTTTAATCGCCAGTTCTTCCACTGAAGAACATGTCCAGCATTTACACACGCTTTTTGAACGTTTCAAAAGTTATGGTGTTGTAATCAACCCTTCGAAGTGTATATTTGGAGATTCATCTCTGGAATTTCTAGGACACCATATTGATTCCCAAGGAATTAAACCGCTTGAAGAGAAAGTCAAAGCCATCTCCAGCTACCCAGAACCAACCTCAGTAAAATCACTACGTCGTTTTCTGGGAACATGCAATTTTTATCGTCGATTTCTACCAAATTGTGCCGATGTACTACAGCCATTGACAGATTTACTGAAAAATGATAAATCAGGTACCAAGAAAGAAAAAAACCAAATATTTAAGTTACCTTCTGATGCTAAAGTAGCATTCGAAAAAGCTAAATCCATGATTGCTAATGCTACCATGCTTCAACATCTAAATACTGACCCCACAACACTGTTGATCCTATGCACAGATGCTTCACAAAAAGCCGTCGGGGCAGTATTACAACAGCGAGTAAACAACACGATTACCCCAATCGCTTTTTTCTCCAAGAGATTATCGCCAACACAAGAACGTTATAACACTTTTGGACGTGAACTCTTAGCTATGCATTTAGCAGTAAAACATTTCAATTTTTTGTTACAGGGTCGCGATTTCACCATTATGACGGATCATAAACCCCTTTGCCATTCTTTTGGCACGTCGTACGACAAGCACTCTCCACGAGAAGCAAGACAATTGGATTACATTTCCCAATTTACTACAGACATCCAATATGTCAGAGGACATACCAATGTCGTTGCAGACGCTTTGTCACGAAAGGATGTAAATACCCTGGTACGTAAGCAAGACATCGATCTGGAAACAATCGCAAAATTACAAGTAGACGACGCAGATATAAAAAGCTGCAAAGTGAAGTCTAACTTGAACCTTAAACCAGTACCTATACCTTTCTCAAATACATCTATCATTTGTGACGTTTCAACGGGTAACAATCGCCCTTTCGTCCCTCTAGCCTGTCGTCGACAGGTATTTCGCCAACTGCATGACCTTTCTCATCCAGGAATCAGAGCCACAACCAGATTGATTACTGAGCGTTTTGTGTGGCCAAAGATCAATTCAGATGTAAAACGATGGACGCGAAGCTGCCTACAATGTCAACGCAGCAAGATTCAGAAGCACACGATCAGTCCCGTTGGCAAGTATCCCCTGCCAGAAAAACGTTTTCAACATATTCATCTAGACATAGTTGGTCCACTACCACCATCTAATTCCTTCACACACATTCTCACTGCAGTGGACAGATTCACAAGATGGGCTATAGCCTGCCCTATAAAAGACACTTCCGCAGAAACGATAGCTGGCGTATTCCTTGAGCGTTGGATAGCAAATTACGGAGTACCTTCTATCGTCACTACAGACCGTGGTCCCCAGTTTCAGTCTATCTTATTTCAGGAATTCACAAGACTTCTGGGCGTGAACCACATCAGGACAACAGCTTACCACCCAGCAGCTAATGGCATGGTTGAAAGATTTCATCGTCAACTAAAAAGCTCGCTGATGGCACAAGATAATACAACCAAATGGAGTGACGCATTACCACTTGTACTCCTCGGTATTCGTTCAACCATAAAGGAAGACATTGGATGTACAGCCGCCGAGTTAGTCTATGGTACAACTCTAACGTTACCTGGTCAATTAGTCAACTATGAACCTACAACGCCAGGAGAGGCTACTCACTTCGCAAGTCGGCTATTACAAACGATGCAGAATATTAAAGCAATATCCCCTCGTGAACACAACAATCGAGTCCAACTTGATAAAAACCTTGAAACGTGCAAATTTGTCTTTGTCCGAGTAGATACGGTTAAAAAACCATTGAAACAACCATATAAAGGTCCATATAAAGTAATTAAACGCACACAAAAATACTTCATCATCAACAGAGATGGCAACAAGCAGACTATTTCTATAGACAGAATAAAACCTGCTTTCTGTGAAGCTACTCAAGTCAAGGAAGACAACGCTGTTGATAATCAACCCCTCTCACCAGCGACTGAAAAACCAGTGGAGGATAAAAAACTTAATATTAAGCCTTCTTGTTTAACACGCTCCGGTAGACCTATAAACAAACCCAAGCGTTATGTCCATTTCGTCGATTAAAGAAAAAAAACAAAGCACACACCTATCTATGTCACACACTACTAATTTCACCCAAAAAATTTTTTTCCTTTTCACAGTGTACGTAATCACATTTTTCCACAATTACTCGTTTTGTCAATTTTTTAAAAAAAAAAATTTTTTTTGTTTTTGTCACAATAATAAACGAGTAAACTCTGTTTAGTTATTCATTTATCGTACACAAACATAAACAGTTCCATTTTTTTTTGGGTCTTTAGCATTTTTGCACATTATTATTATCATTGTCAGCCAACCAAGGCATTAAATGACAGTGTCTTCATTTTTTTTTGTGTGTGCTTATTATACTATGCTACATCTCTACTACATGTCATACTCATCTCCACATTTTTGTTGGTTATAACTGTAAATATTATTTTTGTATACATGTATATATCATACCCTTACATTTTTTCTATTATAACCAGTGTTACCTCCGGACACTCTGGGGGGAGCTATGTGGAGATGGACCTGACAAGCTTATTTTGTAAATAGTTTTCAATGTTATTTGTATTTACTTTATCAACCTTCCACTGTATGTATATTTAACATTAAATGACTGTAACTGTTGTTTTAGTAAATGACCTTGAACACACTTTCCGTTGTACTACTACATTGCGCGACATACCGCTGCTAGCTAACAAATACAATGCTTCTCGCACACTCATCGTTCTATTTCCATTTGTGATTGAGATATCCGAAGTCTAAATCAAATTCTATCTTCATTTATAGACTGTAACCGAAATATATCACATTCAACGTTGGATTATATCATTAGAGAGTTCACCAACCTGTTCAGAATCAACAAACATTTATAATTGTGGATTTACTTTACTGGACCTAATCCTAACACGCAACGTCTGATCAATTTAAGTAACGTCCCCAATTTTTATTGTATTTGTGACAATTAATTATATATATTAATATTACTATTGATTTTTAATAACTTTGTTTATATTTTTTGTGTTCATATCTGTTTGGTCCACCACAACTGTATGCTGATAAAGATTTATTGCCTGAACTTGGTTGTTTGGTCATCGAACTTTCATCGTTCTGAACGCCATCATCAGCACAAACTTCAAGTCGATGTGAAACGTCCGAGTTTCTCCACATATGACTCGCAGCTCCTTCTATAGACCACGATCTTGATTGGCTACTGTTGACCTTTAACCTGTCATTGTTTACTTTTTTATTTTGACTGTATCTCCCATTGATTTGACTCTTGGTCCTATATCTGTTTATAATTGTTCTGGTTGGTTGATAAAGTGGATCGATTTCAATATGTTCGTTGATTGCTTATTGACTTGCGTGCTAAGGTTCTAAAAATTCTCTGGTGTTTTTAGAATTGCCTCTGTCTAGACCTCAAAATTTTCCCAGTCGATTGTGTGTTTATATGCATTGATATAAGCGAGGATATGCCCTGCCGTTTAACCGCTAATTGATGTTCATGCACGCAAAGATGAAGAGGGCGTCCACTTTGTCTGATGTCGTGTTTTTCGCAGTTGGAACAATTTATTTTGTAGATGATGTTTGGTTTTTTCTTTTATGATTTCGTTCATTGGTATGCATAGGATTGATTGAAGTGATTTTGTTGGTTTTTGTGCTACACCTATTCCACAAGGCTTCAAAAAACGCGTGATTTTTGATATGCCTTTTATATATATTTGGACAATCTGTTTGTTGGTCCCTGTATCTGGTTGTGTTTCTGCTGATCCGTTTGGTTGATTTTTTTGATGACGTTGATTGGGTAGCAGCTCTTTTGAAAGATAGTCTTGAGATATTTTTCTTCATTTTCCCGAGCTGCAAGTGTGTTGCAGTGTTTCCTTGCCCTCTTGAATAAGGTTTGTACGCAGTTGATTTTGTGAGTTCTTAGGTTGTTGCTACTGTAATTGAGAATTTAATCTATGTAGGTCGGCTTCCAATATACTCGAGTTCCCAGTTTTCATGCATTGATTCTGTCGATTAATACATCCAAAAATGATAGTTTGTTGTTTGACTTATTTTCCATTGTGAACTTCGTGTCATCGAAGACGTTGTTGAACAGATTGTAGGTGTTTTCGAGCTCGTCCTTTTTGACGATGACGAATATGTCGTCCACATAGCGAATCCAAATTTTTGGCTTGATCACTGGTAAGATCGAGGCTTCCTGTCTCTGCATCATTGCTTCTACAATAAGTTCTGATATTGGTGATCTCATCGGTTTTCCTTTCATTGGTTCATAGATTTTGTTGTTGAATTGAAAGTATGTTATTAAGCGTAAATCGATGAGTTTTAGTAACAATGAAATCGATCCACTTTATCAACCAACCAGAACAATTATAAACAGATATAGGACCAAGAGTCAAATCAATGGGAGATACAGTCAAAATAAAGAAGTAAACAATGACAGGTTAAAGGTCAACAGTAGCCAATCAAGATCGTGGTCTATAGAAGGAGCTGCGAGTCATATGGAGAGAAACTCGGACGTTTCACATCTACTTGAAGTTTGTGCTGATGATGGCGTTCAGAACGATGAAAGCTCCACGATTGAACAATCCAGCTCAGTAAATAAAATCACCAAAAACATCTACCTGAGCTTCAAATCTTATCCATCAGCATTGGTTGCAATTGCATGACGCCATGACAATGGCGGGAACAGTCAGTTGTCGGTTCGCGAAACGTCCCGCTTTTAAGCACTGGGTTTCTTCTGGTTCCTTACAACTCATTGAAGCCCGTCGGTCTACTCCGGGTGACCGTGAGTTTGACCACAAACGAAGGATGTTACGTAAGGAAATTGGGCAAGGCTTGCGTAAGAACCGAGAAGCCTGGTGGTCGGAGCGTGCTAATGAGCTGGAAGCAGCAGCTGCATCTGGTAACTACCGGAAGCTCTTCCAGCTCATCCGAGCCACTGGCAGCAAGAAGTCTGGTGTGAGTGAAACGATCTGCGAGGATGATGGGATGCCAATCACTAACATCCATCGACGTCTTGGACGATGGCCAGAATTTTTCGAAGGGCAGTTCAACTGGTCTGCTGCTCCGGCAACATCGGTCAGACTGTCCTGCCCTCCATGGCCGGTGACAACTGATCCGCCAAACGAGGAGGAAGTCCGCAGGGAACTCCAACTCTTGAAGCACTACAGATCACCTGGCCCAGATGACTTACCTCCGGCTCTTTTTAAAGATGGTGGTGACTTTTTGACTAAGGAATTGACGACGTTGTTTACAAAGATTTGGGAACTAGAGAGTGTACCAACGTCATGGAATGAGTCGGTAGTTGTCCCTATCTTTAAAAAGGGTTCACGTCGTTCCTGCAACAACTATCGGGGGATAAGTCTACTTCCGATTGCGTCCAAGCTATTGGCTTCCGTCATACTTCGTAAATTGTTCAAAACACGAGAAAGATTGACTCGCGAGGAGCAGGCTAGTTTTCGTTCTGGTCGAGGATGTATTGATCATATATTCACACTCTACCAAATGTTAGAACACCACCGTACTAATCAAAGGCCAACAATCGTAGTGTTTCTTGACATTAGGGCTGCCTTCGATTCGTTGGACAGGACTGTTCTCTGGGATTGTCCATTGAAGAAGGGTGTGCCTGAGAAGTTTATTAACATCCTAAAAGCCCTATATACAAACACCTCAGGTAGAGTGAGGGCATACAACCACCTCTTTCCATTGTTCCATTCGAGTAGTGGGGTTCGGCAGGGTTGCCCAATTTCACCATTCCTCTTCAACTTTGCCATCGATGACATTCCGGAAACAGCTCTGATGAATGTACGTAATGGTGGTGTGGATCTATTGCCTGAAGAAAGACTTCTAGACCTTGAGTATGCGGACGATATTGTCTTACTGTGCGATAATGCCCAAGGCATGCAATCCGCACTTAATCAGTTGGCAATCAGTGCCCGTAGGTATGGTATGTGCTTTGCACCTTCGAAGTGCAAAGTACTTCTACAAGACTGGCAGGATTCCAATCCTGTACTCACCCTGGATGGTGAGCAGATAGACGTAGTCGAGAAGTTCGTGTATCTAGGTAGCTGCATAAGTGCTGGTGGGGGTGTGAGTGATGAGATCAATGCACGCATAGTGAAAGCCAGAGAGGTTTATGCCAATCTGGGCCATCTTTGGCGCCTTCGTGATGTTAGTCTGGCTGTAAAAGGTCGGATTAACAATGCGTCGGTGAGAGCAGTTTTGCTCTATGCTTGTGAAACCTGGCCTCTCCGTGTTCGATCATCACTATCTCCGAAGGATTGCTGACATTGAGTGGCAACACCATGTCAGTAATGCAGAGGTTCGGCATCGTGTGTTCGGGCACAGAGATGATAATTCAATTGGTGTCACCATCTTGAAACACCGATTTCGGTGGCTTGGACATGTCCTACGAATGTCGTTCTATGAGAATTCCACGTCGTGCATTATTTCCCGACTCCGGGACTGGTTGGAAAAAGCGGAGAGGTGGTCAGTGCATGACATGGTGTCGTGGTATGAAAGAAAGCTGCAAAGGACTGGCTTGTGTTGGTCCCTCACGACTCCCTGGTTGGGGTCTGAGAGATTGTGCTACACAATGTCTAGAAACGTTATCAGATATGGCTCAGAATGGAAGCCAGTGGTGATCATGCTGTAACCTTCTTTTACTTTCTTCATAAAAAGTGGTTGTGTCTCCCTTACCTGAAAGATTTCTCCCTATTTTACCTTTGCGTTCCCTGATTACTAGCACATTACTTTACACCAATCTCTTCGTTATTGTTCTCTTTTTTTGCGCTCCTTAGCTTTTTTTTTCTTTGTATTCTTCTTCGAATTTTTATTGTTTTGTGTGGTGCAAATATATTGGCGCTCTCTTGTACCAATATTCATGTGTCCAAATTAATAAATTTCTACATAAATATGATTTCGTTTATTGGTTCACCGTTTTTTCTTTCTTGGTTTATACTATTATGATCAGAAATTTGTATACAAACAACTGTTTTGAATTCCACTCTTTAGACCTAGTCATTCGCTCAGTTTGTCGGGTTTTTTAAATATTTCCTCCGGTTAGGATATATATATTTTCCGTAAGCAGATGATCGATTCAATCATTTGATTCATTCTAATGATTCTATCAACTGACATAGCATAACTCATAACTTAAAAAGCAAAAGTTATTACCAAAATACCGGTACAAGAAGTGGGGTTCAAGTATCCAAGCTATAACTTTAAACTTGGCAGTCTAATAATTTCATTTGTTGTACTACATAATATGAATGTCTTGAGAAGTTATTATGTTTCAGAGTATCAACAGCACACTACGTAATATGAGAATTAGTGATTGGCAGAACTAACTGGTACGCCCTCTAATAATCACAACTGAATCAGAAGTGAAGACAGAGAGCACAACATATTCGTTCCAATGTACTGTACTGAAGTTGAAATTGCGCGACTGAGTAAGCATGACTCAATTATTACTTAGCAGAAACAACACGGAAATGTTATTTTCAACATAACGGTTAGTATATTAGTCAGCTAGTTTGAACAACATGAACGTCGTTAACATCAGTGTAGCAAAAATAGTGAATCTTGAGCTCTAAACGTCTCTAATAGGTTATACTTCGCACTGCTAAATTCACATATTGTATACTTCAAAACCCTATCTTTTCTGTCATGCAGAACTATACCCATCGATCATGTACTCAAATGTATAATTAATCCTCTTAATTTTTCTGAAGACAACACATTCTGTGTGTCAAATGAATCCTAATCGTATCATCGGCCAAAGATGGTTTTTGTAAGGATCATATGGTATACAAACAATCAGCCCAAGTCTATGTTGTGGGAGTCATAAGATTGATTACATGATATATATCGAATCAAATAATGAGTTTAAATAAACTGTAAATATCCTGCACTAGTATTTAGCGTAACCTTTCAACAACCAATATCTCCATTATACTTTCTGTAGGTTATCGTTTTAAACTTTTAAGAGATCATACAATGTAAGACAACAGGTACCTCAGTACTCACTTGTTTTAGGTAGTTACTTGAGTATTATCGGATTTTGATATAAACAGTTAGTGTGACTGAAATTCACAGTTTACTGATATGAGATATTCGACTTGAGTGATAAAATCACTTCAGACATTCACTTATAAGACATATCTTAATATAAGGATCTCCATCGTTACGAAACAAAATCGCAAAATCTATATAATTTAAATAGTCAGCAGAATGTCTCAATTGTAACAACCTTTGTCCTGCACGATTCCTTAACTATTATTCATCTTTAAGATATGATAAACCGATTTCCATGGAGCGATATCATTCAAATGTGGTTTCGTCGTCGAATTAATTATGTTGTGATACTGCATTTATACTCATCACTTCACAATTATAGTGTGTAATAATCTAATTCATAATTTATGGTAAAGCTTACTTACGGCGGTTATCCATAAATGGAATCTTTTTTGCTCCAGTCACTAGGCCATCTCTTTTTTTATTCACGTTTTCTATTTCTGATGCTATAGTAATATCGTCTCCCAAGGTCTCTAGGATAGGGCCTATATCGCTGTTGTTTACTTTTGAACTCTTTCTACCCTTGTTTTTTCTGAATATTTCCGAGGTATTAGCTTGAACCGTTGATTCAATAGTTTGTGCCATTACTCGTTTGCTTAAAAATCCATTTGAAGTTTGATTTTTAAAATGCACAAATTAAACGTTTTGATGATGGTGCAATGTTTAAATATTAAATAAATGAACTGGATGTCATAAGCACATCAAGTTTTTTTTATTTTTTAGGAAAAAATACCACTACAATCAATACTAAGCAAATGTGTGTCGACGTGACTTAAATCTATTAGCTATTGTACTATTAATCATGGCTTTCAGGTGTATGGTTTAATCGCTCGATTGGTATGAAATAATCTGTACATAGTCAGAAATCAATGAACCATGCAAGCATGTATGCACAGGGTTTTGAGATAAAATTTAGTCTTTTTGCTAGAATAAATATCAACAAGTTAGCTTACTTAAGGGCTAATCACGTACCAACCTAATCGTGACAATGTGAATCACTTTCGAATAATCAACTGAATGAAACCCAACACTGTTTATCAACTCCTTTGATTGAGAAAGATCACTCAACGTTGTGGATAGAAATATATTGTGGAGTCTTCTTCGACACTATGGAGTAGCTGCGAAGATCGTCATCATCTCCATACAGAACTTCTACGAAGACGTGAATCGCAAAGTCACTCATTGAGAGTAGCTCACAAATTCATTTCAGGTAAGGAATGATGTTAGACAAGGTTTCCCACACTAGTCTCTTCTCTTGCTTCTGCTTGTCGAATAGATTACGAAGATATACATAACTCGAGAGGAGCGCGGAATACAGTGGACATGGTAACAAACGCAGACGAAGATAGCTAGTGTAACATCAGCTCTTGTGAGAGTAGTTCTCAACATTCAGATGGGAATAAGCAACATCCTGAAGTACAAAACGGCAAGCTTCATATAAATTAAACTTGATAGCGAAGCTTCTGAAGCGATGGAATACTTTACGTACTTGGGTTAGTATTATTGATAAACAAGAAGATCTTGATGCAAATGTCAAGGCACAAACTGTCGAAGCGAAGGCAACATTACTATAAATAAAAAATATCTGACACTCAAACGAACTGTCATCGGACTTAGAATTTTCGACACAAAAGTTGAAACGGTTCTACTGTACACAGCTGAATCGTAGGGGACTACCACAACCATTATTAAAAAAGCACTGGCATTCACGAAAGAATTTATTCGCAAGAGTTTTTGCATCCACTGTCCAAAGGTTATCAGAAATAATCTAATGTGGTAGAAAACATATTACTTACCAGTCAGTGAATAAGTTTAAAAGAACGCTAGAGGTTGCTAAAAGACTTTGCAGAGGTCATTAAGGTCACCAAGAAAACCTTAACTTGGAATTTTCAAGGTAAAAGAAAAAGAAACAGGACATAAAACAAACGGCGACTAAAGTTGCTAGAAGACACCACGATTATAAATCGTCCCTCGGAACAACTGAGAAGTAGAATTTAGGAAAATATAGTTGTAGATTATTGGGTATTGATCTGTGCCAAAAATGAGTAACAGATTTCATAAAGTAAGAATGCTCCTTGTATTACTTGTCACTTCGGTCACACATCCCCGCCTTTTATGCATTGGCTGTTGTTGTTCTGGTTTTATATATCCGGGAGAATTGTTTAAAGTTATACGCAAAAGTTGAAGACAGGAGTTTATTTAAAGCTATTTTGGGAAATACAACTTTGCATATCAAACTCTAGGAAAATGCCGTCTGAAAGTGAATCCAACTTACAGTCTGATTAACTTGGGAAAAGTAACTACACTCTTTTCGTGATGACCATACAAGCCGCTTCACCGGAAACCGACTGTGAATAAAGATTTCATATTTGGAAGTAATAGAACAAAGTACTACAATGTTTTGGTGATTTGAAAACGTTTGATGGATATAAGAACAGTGATTTATGATCACAGTGCAAACAATCATGTAGACCTGGAATCATCTAACAAGAAAACTGATTTTTCGAACGTCTCAGATTGAGCAAGTAAACGGTATTTTCATCAATTTATAGTGCGCACCAGAATCTTAGTGAGAATACATCAGAATTTCACAGATGTTCACATCCTTATATTGTATATATTCATGTTACACTTTCATTTATTAATTGACAAATTCCCGATCAAACCACTACTTATGATTGACAAATACATGTAGGTTGTGCACTGATTTAAAAGCCTAACTTCACGATGATGAAAATTCATACTTTGTCGTAATAAAATGAGTCAAACTTACACAGTTTAAATTTTTGCAATAATAAAAACACATCCTACATATTTTGTAGGTTCACATCCATCATAATAAAGTATTATGTTTTTGAGTCAGAGATATTGTTATGTTTGGCCTGTAGATTCATTAGCATATTTAAAGAGCAAATAACAGTATAGAAATGTTTATCACTAACAAATCTATCATAAACCGTAATGTATAAAGACCTCTCTCACACTAACTAAACCTAAATTCTATGAAAAAAAACGTTTCTTCCGTTATTTCTGCAAGACAATATTCATAATTCAATTTAAGGGTTGAATTATAGCTTGATGAATAAATTACGACCAATAATAAAAATCGACTAATAAATAATCAGTTACGAACTTGCAAGTCAGTGTAGGCTACGTCTACAGGTAACATCTGGTCCCCAAATGTGCACCGGCTTTCAAGAGCGACTAATAAGTTAGTGAGACAGGAATAACTTATTCTGAAAAGGTGTTTTTTTAAAAGATCCGGTTTTCATCGACGTACTTAAAAAATCCTTTCGAATGATCTTTTTTAAGATCTAAACAACCACACAAGTTAGGCTAACGGGTCGGTAATTCTCAGGTTTATGTTTCGTAATTTTTTGAAGACAGGACTTACTGTGGAGATCTTTCTGTCTTTTGCTAGACGACCCTGGGTTACGTATAAATTAAAGCATATGCTTAAGGGGTTCGCAACGAAGTAAGATAATTCCTTAGGTAGCCTAAGATGCAATTCATCGAGCCCCGTGGATTTATCTGTGTCAAGCTTATTTAGCAAACCAGAGACATAGAGTTCTTTAATGGTCACGCTATTCAGTGTATGTGTGTGGAGAGTTTGTATGCGCTAACTGGAAGGGTGCTTCTATGGCATATACATTTCTAAAGTAGTTCGAGAATACTTGAGCCTTACCAAAGTCTTCCTCTACTAATTATGTAGCAGTACTGTATCCCCAAAGTGCAGGCATATTTCCTCTTCTTTTTGTCCTTTGGTTTGTATAAGAATACAAGCGTTTAGAACATTCAATGGATTATCAAACGAGTTTTTCTTCGTACACCTTTCTAGACAGACGTAGGGTTAAGGCACAGGTATTCCGAGCTTTTCGATAATAAGATTTAGTCTCACCAGACCTCAGTAACCTAAATCCATCCCACATTTTTCTTCTCTCATAGAGAAGGATGCGGACCGTCCTATTGAACCATGGTGGAGAGTTTCTCGACCCCCTTGGTATAGTCCAAAGTATGTGGGGTGCTGTAACATATGAGTGAATACGTTGACGAGATGCACGTATATTCTAACTCGTAGAGACTGACAAACTGAATGTATTTATCAAACAAATAAATCAATAATTTCAGGTCCAAAGGCGTTTTTAACCTACCGTATTGAGAATGATGCGTAACCTTAGAATTTAAAAACGCACGGATCTGTTTAATTACATTAGATACAGCAATAGTAGAATAAAACAACATTTTGCGACAATAAGATGAGTATGATCATTTCCGAGAAACGCTTTGGTTATTCTTTGAAAACAGTATTAAAACATCAACTAACTCGTTGAACTGTGAAAAATTGTACCTTTATCCAATTTCCATATCGTTCACCTTTCCAATATTTTTATAAGCTTTTGCTTGTCTTAATACTTTGTTCATAGCTCTCCACATACCAAAATATACATGAACTATAGTTTTTATTTCGTTATCACGTAGACATTTTGTACAGTGTAGTTTTCCGTTAGTTGTTAATAACGTGGTTGATATATTATCAAGCTGCAAAAGTAAGTATATCTCAGAAATAAAAAGTTTTATGTGCATTTTACGATGTCATTGACCCCATGTCTTTCAGGATAAATTATTGTTATTTGAGGGTGATCTGTCTCTTGTGATTCTATGAAGTGATCAGACGCATCTATGTTCACAGATATTCAGGGGCGGCATTTGTGACAAGTAGAAAAATATGCCTCTTATTCACATCGTAGTAGTACAGCCTAACTATTCTCCTGTGAATAAGTGCCCTTAAATTCCTCAACAAGACGAGACGATATTTAATCTGTTGTTGATACTTAGGCAGATAAATCCCCAAAACCAATTGCTCTGTAATCTTCGACATTTGATGCCAAACAAATTAATTTTAATGGACTCACCTAGCTAAAGGCGCTTGATCATACATCCGCATCAGATCACAGGTGGCAACGCCGTGCTCAGCTTAGCTAGCTAGTTCAGTTCAGTCAATTCTCGATATATTGATAACCTATCAAATATATCTTCGAACCTTCTTGTTTCTGAATTGATTTCACTCGGTGGGCACGATTCACTTATAGTTGTTAATGGTTGAAGTTTTGTCCAACTACAAATGCTTTAGACATCTCCAGTGACTAAGGAGAAAGATATTACAACATGTGAAAAAGATGTGGCTAACTCAGCAAGATCGAACACTTTTTTTACAGTGATACACTACTTGATGATTATTATGGGCATGATTAATTGTTTTTTTGAAAAAGTTATTTGTTAGGGCCATATTTAGAAGTTCAGTGTTTATTTTATTTATTTGAACACACGAATATTGGTACGAAGACACTGGTTACATGTGAGCCATATAAATCACTTGATTTATGTGTGGGCTGTGATACTGCTGTGATACCAAGACTGAAGCACATGGTTTTCTTAAGGGGCAACACCAGGAGCCTTCGGCCAAAAGGCCGGATTCACAGTGCAGTGGATCAACATCAGGAGATGAAGTTTCATGGTAGGCGGCGACCAGGAACTGATTTTTACCTCATTTGTTCCTTCACGATTTTGGAGCTCATGAACATCAT